AGAGTTTGTGGCTTCAGAACACCACAGGCTGACAGAGGAGCACATCACTGCCTTGCAGAGCAAGCTGTGCCAGATCTTTGGTGTACAAAACCAAACACTATGGGGAGGACCTGAAGCAGACTCGACCAGCTCTCTGCTATTCAGAGTGGAGGTCGCAAGTTGGCCAGCTCAATAGACTGTTCTCCTTGGCTCAGACCCTTGACCAAGGCCACCTGGGGGCCTGACGGAGCATTGGTTTCCCTTCCTGGGGCTGTCTGAAAGGCAGCTGGCCACTTCCACATAGTCTTCCACACTGGCAGACAGCATCTGGAAGCTGGGCCAGGATGCTTGGGGAACAGCCTCAGCTCAGACAGGAAAGCCCTGAGGAGGAACTGGGAAGCCAGGGCCCTCTGATCCCTGGGTGTGCAAACTGTGGCTTCTCCCTCACTTCTGTACTAGAGCCGACAGCCATCAGTCTGCTGTGGGACAGGAATGGGGGCCACTCCCAAGGCAGGCTGTCTTGCCTCTGATCAGGTTACCTGTCTCCAGGTGGGCTTGGCCCCAGGTAAGGGAGAGACATGGACCAGCTCTGATGCCTACTGCTCCCCAGTACCCCAAATAGAGGGCAAGACTCCTTATGGAACCCGTAGAGGGGGCCCATTCATTATCTGTTCCTTCGACTTCCATCTTCATGAGCCAGCCTGCTCTTTGCTTCTCCCCTTCACCTAACAGGTATAAGGAGAAAGTAGCTTTCACTTCTTCTTTCCTTCCAAGCACCAGAAAGTACACGCCAAAATGGGATGCTGAGCTGTAACCAGGGCAGTGTGGGGAAAGCCCGAGATGAATGGAAATCTGTGCCATGCACAGAAAGAGGGAGGAAGAGGGGGCCTACTGTCACACAACTGTGGCATTCTGGGGCTGATCCCCAGTTGAGACATAGATCCTCAGCCTATAGTGGCTCCACATTCTGGGAGGGGCCAGGCCAGGTCTCCAGGGGCTCCTCTCATAACCTCTTTCCACCCTCACCTTTTCTTAAGAGGCCAATGGGCACCAAGACCTCACACATTTCCTCACTAGTCACTCCCACATATAGCAGCTTGATGGTGGGCAGGGTGAATCCAGCTTCTGGAGGGTAACCCTACAGTGAGAGGCGCTAAGAAAAGCTTGGCCCCGCCTCCAAGATGGCAGGAAATGAAGGTTATGGATCACAAGGGGCTCATGGGCACTCAATGTTCTCCTCTGCTGCTCTCTGTGCTCTTGCCAGCAGGCATCTTCTGATGGATGGTCCCTCCTGGGGTTGCTTCCCTGGGTCTCAACTTATTCAGAGATTCTCCTGCATGGCACTGCCTCCTAGAGGTCCATTGGCTAAAATCATGACCACCTTTGCCAGAAGTACAATCTAGGTCTAATATGAGAAAGCTTAAAATACTGGAACTGGCCCAGAGCAATGAGGATATCTAGAGTGGTGAAGGGAGGGGAGGCTTGCAGGAGCTTGCTTTTCTGTTCTTAAGCAGACCTGATCCTAGTAGGAGTCAGCAAGGTGTCAGCAGCCATGCAGCTACTTCTTGAGGTGCACGCACGACTGAGTGCAAGTCTGTCAACAAAAGCTCTTCCTTTTGGAGCACTTGAACCCCTGGGGACCTATCCCTTGACAGTCCCTTTTGACCTAGACATGGGCTTTTGAGAGGGCAGGGTGGGAAATTTGTGACACTTCCCACATTGAACAATTCAACAGAGTCTGGCTGTACTGAAGAAACCTGGCCCTGGGGAAATAACACTGGCTGGAGTTTCAGCTTCCCAAACCAGGGTGAGGCCACACCCTGCAAACCCCAGAAAAGGATCTATAGGACCTTCCAGAAATAGGCCCTGATGCAATGGTTCTCCCAACTCAAGCATCCAAAAACAAACAAGTAAAACAACCCCAAGCCCCAACTCCAGCTCACTCTTCTTGAAGCTGCCTAAGAGACAGAACACAGAAACCAAAAGAGAGTACAAGAACGAGTTGAAGGGGCACTGGAGATTTGGATGGTATCTATTATCAACATGAATGTGGAGAATGATTCAAATCACAGTTTTCTCAAGTTACCACTTCCATTGATTGATTTCTTAATTCCTGTGCTCACTTCTGATTGGGATGTGGGTCAGGTCTCAGCTCTCATGGGCAGTTTGCACAGGGTCCTGCCTGGCACTGTGTACATTTCCACCCTGTTTGCTGTGGATTCACCATCACCACAGTTCAATAGGCCCCTTGGCGGAATCTTGCCCTAAGGCTGGTAGTGCCCTCCACTCCTCCCCCGGGCAGCATCCTAGAGGGAGTGGCTGGGCAGCTCCCTGCTTTGAGTCATGCGACACCAGTGGGAAGAATCTGGCCAGTTCTATTTTGACCACTATGTGGGAAATCCCTTGGCTCTGGGCTTGCTGCTGGTATAGATAAAAGGCCTGAGTCCCCTTCCAGTGGGGGCTGTGCTGGAGACAAAGGGGGATCCCAGCATGAGCATGGAGGTCCCTGGCAGTGGAGAAATGAAACACAACCTGATCTCACTGCTGTGATACTGCAAGAATTACTGCTTGTAGTTCCCTGCCTCTTCAACCAGCTGTTGTTAAAGCACCAACAAGCAGAGCAAGGGAGCCAGACTACCATCTCCCCTCATAAGGCCACTCAGAGCAGGGAGACAGAGCCAAGGGGAGGAAGAAGGGAAGATCCAGGCCCACACCATGCCCCAGGCGCAAGGAGCTAACCTGGGGGGAGGAGCTGGGGAAGGAAGAGTGGTGGAAGAAAAGGACAGAGGAGGAAAAAAGAAATACACCAACATCCTACTACCCTCTCCCATGATTTCATCAAGAACTGGGTGTTCTCCAAGTCAAGTCAGGACTTGCTTCCTTGGGGAGGAGAAAAAAAAGAAAAAACAAGCACCTTCAGTCTATTTTCTTGGCTGGAAGCCGGAGCAAATCCAGCAGATATTTACACAAGGGCCCAGCCATGTATGAGAACAGGATGACCAGCTTCCCGTGGGTCATGGTCATGAGAGTCTGGTGTCCCGAGGCCCAGATGCGATACCAGGGGCCGTAGAATGGGTCTGAGATGGCCGGACACAGCATGTTGTTCAAATTCACTTCGGTGACCTGCAGGGACAAGGGAGGTAGAGTGAGCGTTCGCCATCCTTAGGCGTTCTCTGGCTTATGCCATTTCAGCCTTCTCTACCTAATGGGGGGCAGGACAAGGAGGGATTGACCAATCCCCACCTGTTCATGAATGGGTTTCCCTTCCCTGGGTTTTCTGAGGGAAGCAAGGCCACAGCCCATTAGAGGTGATGGGAAGGGATATGCAGGAGAAAAGCTGTTCAGTGTTGCTCAGGCTTGACTTCTAGTTGTGCCCAGAGCCTGTTGCCATTCCTAAGAATCTGCTATGTGCCTAGTTCCTGGAGAGGTATTATGGGATAAAAAGAGTAGTTAACAGCATGGTCCCTGCCTCCATGTAACTGGCAATCAATCAAGTGAGGGCGATCGGTTTATTACATCTGACCTCAAACCAGACGGTGCCCACCAAGGTTTACACGCCATGAGGAGGTCTGAGGAACATATGGAATGGGGGCTGAGTCCTCAGAGAAGATTTCATGAGGGAAGTGGCACCTGAATGGACTCATGAAAGATGGACAGGGGATAATGGTGACAAGTGGGGTGAGTGGAGCCCTCCCTGTAGGAGGCATGGCCAGAGCATGGTATGTATGGTGACATGAGCACACTGACATCTTGGAAATGCAGGATGTCAGTGGGGAGCAGTGAGAGGTAAGGGAGGAAAAGTGACTGATTCTACAAAAGGTACTGGGGACATCGGTTTACACACGCTCTTATCCTGCTGGATAAGGATAAGGTCGCACGAGGCTCACACGGCTATTGTTACGTTAATGCTGCCCACACCAAACCAGATATGCCACAACACTTGGCTTCCAGAGCCCTACAAGTCTGCTCATGCTAAAGACAAGTCCTTACCACCTCTCAGGGAGGTTAGGGCTATTATACCAAGTCACAGAGAGGTGGAAAACTCTCTTCCCTCAAAGGTGAAGTGACTCACTTAGAGCAGAGACAGAATCAGGACTTCAACTTGCGTCTCCTGACCCTGTCCCCAACCCTGAGCTCTTCCTGACTCACTTTACCACTAATAACCACCCTTGCAATACCGGCGATCTTGGACTCTGGATAACTCAACTACTGAGTCCAACCATTCTCCACACTCCAGGCAGTTCTGAACACCACAGAATGCAATGGGGGTCCCCAACAACACACTTTCATGGCCACACAGCTCAGGGGAAATAAAGAACCCAGGAGCAGGACCAGAACAGACAGACCCAATGTCAGAGACTTGCCCCAGGCCCAGGGGGCCAAGGCTAGCTAGAGTCCCAACTCCCCATGAGGTCCACAGCAAACCATTTCCCACTGTTTCCAACCCAAGTGGCCAGGAGTGAAGGGCATCCTTGCCTCCCCAGGGATGAAAAAACAGACATTACTGAAGGATTCAGAAAATTCTTTGGAGAGGCCAAGGCTGTGGATCATAAATCAGCAACCCAGACACAACAATCTGACATTCTGGCCTTTAGCATCTTGTATTTTCAAAACAAAATGATACAACAGCGCCAAGAAGGATTATCAAGATTTATGGAGAACTCCAAACAGAGGGGAGAGAAGGGGATTGAACCAAACTTACCAGGCCGAGGATCTGTAGAATGCTGAAGTGATAAAAGAACATGAGGCCAGTTGAGAGAAGAGCCCACCGGAAACTGCTGAGGGGCTCTGGGGTGTAAGCACCTGGAGGGAAATGGGAGAAGGTAAGATTGTGGAAAAAGTGACCCACTTTCCTCTGCCCACGAGGGCATGGATGCTAAGGTCATAGTTGTAGCCTGTTCATTGTCCCGTTTTACCCATCAGTGATAGCTACTTCAGAGAGAGCCTTGCTGATTAGCTGGGTACTCAGAACAGCCCCTTCCTGACCTCTGTTCTGCCATTCGATGCTGAGGCCATTATAAAGAGATGATTTTTTATTATGAAAATAATACATGCTCATTAAAGGTAATTTAGAATGCTGAAAAGTAGAAAAAAGAAAGATAGAGGAAAAGAAGAAAAACAGCCCCAGTACTCTACTACCAGAATATAATCACTGCTAATGCCTGCTGTGTCTCCTTGGTCATTTTTTCTATGCCTCATAATTTTTTTTTCATTTTTAAATTAATACTTGGAATCACATACATGTACAATATATTGTTGATTATATATATGAGTGTGTGTGTATGTGTGTGTGTGTGTGCGTGTATAAAATTATAAAGTCTTCATTTCTACATTTATTTCCTCTTAGTTCTAGAGGGAAATATCATTGAGGAAAGGTATGATGTGGTGATTGAGAATGTTAACTTTAAAGTCAGATGGCCTTGGTTGTGCAAGCTTCAACTTTGCCACTTACTGGCCATGTGATCCTGGGAAAGTGGTTAAAACTCCCTGAAGACTCAATTTACTTGCTTATAAAAAGGGAATAACAGTAGCCCCAGAATCTGGCACAACATGAGTGTTCAATGAAATGTTAAGATGCTGTCACTGTAATTCAAAGAACTGAAGACGTGCCATATCTAACAGTGGTGCCATCGAAGAACTATTGAACAATGCCTCCCCCCAGGAACTCCAAAAATAATATATTTCCTTTCTATTATTTCTGGGAATAGATCCCAGTAGGTTTGGACATATTCCAGAATTTACAGAGCAGGGGCATGGTTTATAGGATGTTGCAGGTGTCACTCTGAATGGGGACTCAGAGGGGGTGGCTTGAGAATGAAAGGGACTTGAACCCCCCCACACACACTCAAGGAAGCAGGGGTGATATCATATCCTGGACTACTACTTTCTTTAGTGACTGATCCATTCATTCAATAGTTATGAGGCAGCTAGACTATTCTAAGAAGATAAGTTCCCTGCAGCCTCAGACTCATGGTCAACAATTATAAAGGAGTGGGGTGGAGGGGTGGCTGTAATGTGAAGATAAAAATCAGCCTGCAGGATGGGGTGGAGCAAAGAATGCTTCTTGATAGAGGGAGTATGGGAGTGGTCCTGAATTGGACTACCTAAAGAGGGGCCCTGGGATTCCAAAGCAGCAGCCTACTTCCAGTCAGACAGAGTGAGGCAATTCAGAGAATCACAGTTGACTTAAGTAGGAGAGTGGGATGAGGGCAATAAACAGGAGGAAGACTCAGGCTGGCAGGGCTGGGCCATGTAGCACAGTAGGAGCTACACTAAGGGCTTTGGGCTTCGTCCCATGCAGCAGGGTCCTGAGCTCAAACGCCTCAAGTGACAGGCCAAGTAATAGGAAGCAGGGTGTAATCACGGTCTAAGAGACACTGGGGGATGCTAGAGACTGGAAAACTGGAAAGCCCACACCCCTTCACTCCACCAATCCTTGCCCTGCAAGGATATGGCCCAAAAGGAACCCCCCCCACTGCCACCTCTTTTTTCCACTTTTATAAGAATGGTCAGAAATATGAAACTTTATGTGGAACTTCCTGATTTTTAAATGTTGGCAACTAATTCCAAATGTGCTAAGAATGCCTGATGGATCAAACAAAACATGTCGTATGGACAGATTTCAGCTCCTGGGTGGCCAGGCTTGAGCTTTGAAGCAGAAGGAGCTCTGAGGCAAGAATGTACTAGAAACACACATGTGCTTATAAGAGATCACCCTTTTCACTGCAGCAGAGTGGAGGCAGGGAGATTAGCAAGGAAATTGTAGAGAGAACAGGATGGCTTTTGAAGGTAAGAGCAGTGGGGCTACAGAATAAAAAATGAAGGAAAATATCACTAGCATATGGTAGAATACTGGATGCGTGTCTAGGGTTGGTGGGGGGTAAGGGGAAGGAAGGACCACAGAGACTCTTGGGCTTCTAGCTTGGGCATCAGTGGGGTGATGATACTAGATAAGAGGAAAAGGCATGTGGGTGTGGAGGGTATGGGAATGAGGTCTATTTTAGACATTGAAATTGCATTATCTGTAGAATGTATGGGAGTACATGTCCCTCCGGTGGCTGAATGTACTCTAGGATGTACAGGGTGATGAATGACAGTGTAGGTACTGGAGCCCAGCCAGTGGAGGTTTTCACATTGTGGTTCTATCACCTATCAGCTTCAGGGCCTTAGGCAAGTCTTGGTATCTACTGAAGTCAGTTTAACTCATTTGTAAAATGAAACAGTACTACCTAATTCACAAGGCTGTTTGACAGAAGAAAAAAAATATGCTATAATTACAGTACCAGGATTTAACAAATGCTGATTATTTTTATTTCAGGAGTCACAAATTCAATGAAAAGGATGGGGTGAACATCCATATGTAGGAAGAAGGCCAGAGACACAAGACTAAGAAATACCATGTAAGGTAGAGGAGTGAAGAGAAGAAAAAGGAAGGAGACGGGGTAACTAAAGCCAGGGGATCTTCTGTGGGAGAAGCTCAGCCTTGCTCTAGGAACAAGAGACAAGGCTGTGACATATATGAGTCAAAGGCCCTTTGAGGATATAGCTATCATCTCTCCATTTTGTAGATGGAAAAACTGAGGCTAGGAGATGGGCAGTCACACAGTCAAAGTTACTCTGGCAAAAGAGTGGGGAAACCAACCCTCAGGGACTCACTGCCCAGTGTTTCTGTTACCACTTGCATAGGCCTCAAACATACCACGTTGGACCATCTCTTTCCTTGTCTGCCTACATTCTAGACTGAGCACACACAGCCCAGGTCAGTAACCACATCAGATCCATGTGTGTGCCCCTAGAGTCTAGCAGAGCTTGCCTTGTGAAAATCCACTGAGTGATCCACTTGGGCTGTGTGCACTTACCTGCCTGCTCAGTGAGTGTGAAGTGGGCACTGTGTTGTCGCCTGGGTTCTGGGACATGTAGGGGCACACAGGGGAAGAAGGGACCTGGAGGACTGACAGGTGCTCAGAAAGGATGCATCCCACTGCTAGAGCCTCCAGCCATTGCTCCCCAGATGTCCCTTCCCTCTAGCCTTTGCTTGGCTTCTTCTAGTGGAAGCTGATATAGGCCTTCTATGCCAGGTGGTAGCTACAGGAGAGGCCCTGAGTGTGTGTGGTGTGTGGGGGGGTAAGGCATCCTCATCCAGGAGGCAGCTCGACAGCCATAGACCTGGGGAAAGCTGGGACCAGGGGTGGGCACTCAGTGGCCCACCCCCTCATCTACCCTGCCTGTGGCAGCCCCAGACCATATCATACTCCATGTTCTGGGGTAAAAGAACAGCCAGATACTACCAATGGACATGCTTCTAAGTACTTTCACTGTCCCTTGTCCAAAGTTTCACTTTAGCATCATTCCTTCCATGTCACATAATCTGACCTATACCAGAGTTTGCTAAGTGAGGGGCTGTTTCTGAATCTCCTCTTCACCTCCAGGACCTGATATATAGTAGGCACCTAAAATCTCTGTGTGGGCAAATGAACAGTACAGACTTTTAGAAGAATCATAAAAATCTAACCCTATGACTCAATGCTACTTACCACTTTGAAGACCACCACTGAGAATCTAAAGAGCTCAATAAACCATCCTTATTTGCCCAAAGAAATCCACAATATTTAGAAACCAGAAAGAAACCAAATATGGGAGATGAGTTAGGTAAACTATTGGTACCTCAATATTGTTACAATAGTACACTGCCATTCAAATGACAGTCAAACTATGTACCTGTGTGAAGAGATCAGTCCATGGCTGGTAATATCAAGTATAAATGACAGAACGTCAAGTAGCTTAAAAACAAAGACCATGGGTTCAACGACAGCCTTGTGTAGTGTGTCACCTATCTATGGGGGTGACTTCGAGTAAATCACACTGCCTCTCTAAACTCCTTCTGGAGGTAGAATCTACCTCTGAAGGATAATGAATGGAATAAGAAAGATGACAAAGTATGTATGGAAGCCAGCCCAGCATAGAAATGGCTGCTGGTATTTGTACCATGGTGACCACAGCCATGCAAAATCTTATAAAAGTCTGGAAGAGGATAGGGGATGTTGTGAAGAGGTGGCCTTCAATGAAGGGCTCTTTGACTATGGTTTCCCTTGCCCTTTCACTATTGATAGTTCTTTTCATTGCAAAAATGATCAAATATTCAATTTCTTTGAGAAAGAAAGAACGAACAAACAAGCAAGAAAGAACAAACCCACCCTGGGCACAGATGACTCATTCAGTCTCTGTGGTTACATGAAAATTGTATGCAAACCCACATCATTCTCCTCACTGTGTACCTGGATGTGACCCTTGGGATAATTCCAATGAAAAAAAACAGTATTGCTTGTAAAGGAAAACAGAAACTTAAACACTTTCAGAAAAATTAAATACATAAAACTTTTTTTTCTACTTTAGGAAAAAATGTGACATTTTCTGTTAGCATTTCTATCCCAGGAGGATAGAAGTACGTCATCTCTAAAGGTAGGGGGGAACCAAGATAATTGCTTTTTCTAAAATCAATTTCTGCCAGAAGGAAGCTTTATGAGTACTGGGAACCAAAGCAATTGTACCACCAGTGGGAAGGACTGATCCCCAGGGGCATCCCAAGGGACCTTTGTGTCATCCTACAATTCTACCCAGAAGGGCTTACACCAAGAAGATGAGACTGGGTAGGGTGGCATCCCATTCTCTAGTCTTCTTCCTGCTTTCTTCCACTTAGTTGCTTACCATGCTGCCTGGTCCTTCAACATCTATGACGGCCATGGGGCTCATGGCATGCAGTGGGGAAAGTCAGAAAAACCCTGCCCTTGAGTGCCACCCTGCAG